GATAGTAGACATGAATAAATAAACTATCAAACCAAACAATGTGGTCAAGAGTATTGTATTAGAGAAAGACCGTATTGCATTTGTAATCCTAAACTGAATAGGTTCTCCACCTCTTCTGATTAGCTTGGGTAACCATGATATGCTGCTAGGTGTCACTCATGGTTTGTGGAAGCCCTAAACGTGTGTAATCACTAAAGGGAGAATTGAAAGTAAGTTTCAATTCACAATCGATGTAAAATGGTTTTAATCGCCCACTGCCTCGCTAAAAGGAACCTAATGGATCGTACACCGTGTAAGGTGGAGATTGAAGAAACAATGGAGATGAGTAAGAATAATTAAATGGTTTAATTATTTATGGCAAGGATTAATTAATATGTTAATTAATCAAATGAATAAGTTCGTTAAAGACCTCGGGATAGTTTTGGACCTTAAGGCCCAATGGGCTTCGAACGTCAAGCCCATTGACTTAAGTTGTATGACAACTTAATGAATAATGATTCACAAAGGCCTAAAAGGCCCAATGAAACCCCAAGGCCGGCCATGATGCTTTTGGAGTGGGTTTTGGACTTATTTACAAGTTTGCCACTCCAATGAATTAAGGTATAAATATGACTTTATAGCCAAAATTCATTTAGTGTTTGTTTTGGAGAAAATTGGAGAGAACATGTCTCTCCATTTCTCTCTAAAGAGGCCGGCCCCTTGGAGGGTGTATCTAGCCATACTACTACTCCAAGGTCACTCATTTTCTTCTCCAATCTCTTCTTGGTGTGGAGACTTAGAGGTTCTCAATTTTGGGAACTTGGAGAAACCTTTTCATCCATCCAAATCCATAGATTTTAGATGCAAGGAATGAAGGCCCTCTCTTTGGGTGATTAGCCTTTGCTTATGCAAAGAGGAATCTACAAAGGTACAATTTCAACTCACTTTGTTTTGAGTTGAGTTTTGGTTCACCAATCTACTAGGCTTTGAATTTCTTGGTTAATGTTTTGTTTTTAAGTGCATGCAAGCATGATTCCGCCTTTAATTGTTAATTGCATGCTTATAGATGTTGCTTAAATGAACATGTTTTCACAAAATAATCCTTCAACTGGTATCAGAGCCTAGGTCTAGTAGTTGGTGAATCCTTTTGGGTTTTGTAGTTCATAGTCTTTGATTTAAAAGTTGTAATTGTTACAAGCTTTATTCTTGTTTCTTTGAATGTAAATTTTGTTAGAAAATTTGCCATCTCAAATGTTGTAGATGTAGTTCATATGAGCATGAATATTGGAGCTAAAATTTGGTGCCATGACTTTGGGAAAATTCGGCCAAATCCATAGGGTGGATTTTTGGGTTCTTGTTTGACTTGTTAAAAGTGTTTTCAAGTGACTTTTGGAACCCCTATGTACCCTAGTTTGGTTAGATGTTATTTCCCTAAAGTTTGAATGGTTTTGGGATGTTTTTGGGTGAAAAATGTTCATGGAATTTTTTTGGGTTTTTCATGAATGTTCTTCATTGTTCTTGACATTTTTGCCAAGAACAAAAAAGGTTTGTGTTTTGATTTAAAGTTTTGATTTATTTCATAAAGTTTTTGTTTTATGTTTTTCAAATGATTTAATGTGTTAGATATTTGTTTAAATGGTGTAAGAGATGTAAGAGATATTATGGTGGGTGTGAAAGGATTAATTTCCTTTCACACACACCACTTGCATCACTTGCATGCTTTATGTCAAAACTCACAAATCAACACACACATCACCCCTTTTCTCTTCCAAAACCGGCCCTCCCTCAAGTGGGAGTACTTTTGGGGCTTTTATGCATTTACATAAAGTTTTGATACTTTTGTGTATTTGCACTTTGGCCCAAAAGTTTACGTTTTTACGTTTAGGTCCAAAAACGCTAAAGGACAAATTGTTTTGCTCCTTTAATGAAGTTTTTGCATTATTAAAATTTTGGGTTCTAGTGTAATTTCATGAAGTAGTGGACTTTTGTGATTTTACAAAGTGACCCCAAAAGTTTTTGTTTTTGCAATATAGCCCAAAAGTTGAGGTTAATTGCAAGATAGCCCAAATAAGTTGTGGTTATTGAATATTGGCCCAAATTAGATAGAGAACAAAATTGTTTTGTCTCTTTAAATGAGAATTGGATTTTCATTTTGTTTAGCTCCATTTAAATCAATTTTATGGATACAAAAACCAAATGAAAATGTTGCATTCAATTTAATTAGTTAAAGTGTTAATTAATTAAAGGGTGATTATGAACCTAAGCCTAATATAATTGAGCTATGTGATAGGCCGTTTCAAATTTGTTTGAACCATGGGAATGTGTAGATTAGATTTTGGTTGTAATTTGATTTGATCAAATGTTGTAAAAGGGCTTAAGCTCTTCTTTACTTTAAAGTAATTTGTTTTATGCAAATGTTTTAATGAGCATAAGCTCACCTTTACTTTGAAGTACTTCTTTCTTGCTTTATTTGATATGCATGAAAATGAAGTAGTTGGGTCCAACGCCCCTAAGACAACACGCCTTAATGTGATTAAACGCGTAACTAAAATCAATCACCATCCCTAGACCGAGATTAAACACAAGGCTCGTGTTGAATCTAAACAAAGGTTCATAGTCATCCTAAGGCCCTAAGGCAACTATATAGTCCATCAAATGAATGCAAAGGTTATGTTAGTAGTATCATATACTCTTACTTTAAAAACCGTTTTATAAGCATAGTAGGAGTATTATGTACAACTAAAACAATCAAATGGACCAATAGTTGTAATAGGACCAAAATTGTTTTAATAGAGATTAAAATGTATGTTTATATGTGATAAGACCTAAAACCCTCAACCAAACCATTATTAAGTTGATAAGCGTGAGAGTGCTTTGAACACTCTTTCGTGGCCTTCGACCGTGGTAGGCTCCAATCGTTTATGACTTGTACACTGCCTTCACCCTATCATGGGGGAGTGCAAAGTGCATGCTTATACTCAGGAGGAGTCTATATACATACTTGATGAGGTGAGTGTAGGCAACGAGGATGGCCGACATCGTATCATCGTGAGGCTATTCTTGAACCCCTTCACGAACTAAGCATGGTGGGAATGACTTAACTAAGTGCAATGGAGCCAACATCATATCATTGTGAGGTGACATTCTCTAGAGGCCAAATAAGATGGGTACTTGCATTAGTTGCAAATGAGTAAGCGTACTCTCTCATTATTATTAATGCTAGCCAACATCATATCATTGTGAGGTGGGCTTGTTAATAGTGAGCCTCCTATACCCTACTAAGAGTTTCATCCAAAACTCTCGAATTCCAATGAGGGATATGGAATTTGCCAAAAATAGTGGGTGGTGCTATTTTGATTTAAAGACCCGAATCAAATGGCTTCAAATCAATCAATTTATATTCGTTATGTATTTGTTTACCAATATATTTGCAAACGCTATCCAACACTTGACAAATAAAAGCCGAAAGCTTTAGTTTCCGGACTTGGTACTACAAAACCATAGATTGTCTTTAATGGCTTGTAAATGTGCCTAAGTAGTCTCTTCCTCACAATCTTCCTATTGATAATGTATCATTAGAAGAATATGTTAGAAAAAGTCTATCATAAAGAGGACAACACTTTTAATGTTATAATACTTCAAATACAATTTGTTGTATGAAGAAATAAGAGTTGCTTTGAACAACTCTTAGTCAATGCAAACACTTAGTGCTTGTTTCTTTGTTATATGAACAAAGAACTTGAGAAGAAAGCACAAAGGCATGGACACTTAATGTGCCATGATTCTTCCCTTACAATTTGTTGTATGAAGAAATAAGAGTTGCCTTGTACAACTCTTGAAAGTTTGTAATTATGTTTGGAACATAATGGTTGGTTGACAAAAATAGTCCATTAACATGGACTTATGATGATTTTGAATCATTGAGTGTTGAAGTGATAAACCACTTAACGAGACGGAAACTAGGCAATGACTTCACCTATGTGTCCCTATCCTAATGGTTCACTAAGTTTATTGTAAATTATGTAGTGAACAATAAACACATGCTCTCCAAAATGTTTGATGTGTATAACACAATTGAAATAAGTTTCAAGAGAGATAGTGGGAGTTTAGGGACCATGATTATTGTAGCCGAAGGAGAAGTCAAATGAAGAAGATAAAATTAACTCCAAGGGAACAAACTTTCTTTATGAAAGGATGGACATTGGAAGGGGTATTTGCAAGAAATGTCTTGCAAGTGTCAAGAACACACCTTTCGAAGGTGTTGTAAATTGTTCTTGAATAGTTCAAAACAGTTGGTTAAAAAAGAGATGAAGGACAAGGAGCCTAGCCCTACTACAATGGATTTGACCAAAATATGTTGTAGGAGGCCCATTTGGTCACATGCGATAAAGCCCAAACCCTAGTGCTGATTATGTCAAAGTCAAAGTCAACGTCAAAGGTGCTTATGAACATGAAACAACAGCAACGCAATTCTAGGTGACAATGTGATGGAAATTATGAGCAATTATCCACAAAGAAAAGCATAAAATTTGCCGTCCTAAAATAAGAAAAATTAGATCAATCGATAGTGGTACATATTTTCACTTAGTTAGAGAAGAATTGAATACATGAATAGCAAAGCATAGAAAAATTATATGCATTTATAATGAGTTTAATTATTTACGATGATTAGATTGTTGTGACGTAATTTTTCTGATATTTGTAAGTGTATTGTAAAATATTTTGTAAAAATTAGAAAAATGATGTATAAATAAAAACAAATATTGTATGGTTGTTGAAAGAAGAGTAGCAAGTCTCGTTGAAAAACAAACTAAAAATAAACATATGTCCATTTATAATTAGAAACATGTAAATTTCAACAAGACTTGCCGCTTTTCTTTCTTCGGCCAAACATTATTCAATAAAAACATGGCCCTGTTAAGCCGGCGATACTGATTGAATCACCCACACATGGCAACTATTCACGTCCCATAAATAACCACTCACCCCCACTACCTCTCATTGGACGGACACTCTCAACCGTCCATATCAGACTGCCAACTCTTCATCACCCATCTCCCCACCGCTAGATCATCTTCCCTCCCTCCGTATAAATACCCCCTACCCTTCCCTCCAAAATAATAGCCCTTCCTTTCAAGAAAACAGTTACCGGCAGTTTTATACATATATATTTTTACGGATCTTCACCGTTTTACCCCTACAGATTGGCGGAAATGAGAGAGATTCTGCACATCCAGGGAGGGCAATGTGGGAACCAAATAGGAGCAAAGTTCTGGGAGGTTGTGTGCGACGAGCACGGTATAGACCCCACCGGGCAGTACACCGGTAACACCGACATTCAGTTGGAGAGGGTGAATGTTTATTACAACGAGGCCAGCGGCGGCCGTTACGTGCCTCGCGCAGTGCTCATGGACCTCGAGCCAGGCACTATGGACAGCATCCGCGCAGGGCCTTACGGCCAGATTTTCCGACCGGATAACTTTGTTTTTGGCCAGTCCGGGGCCGGAAACAATTGGGCTAAAGGGCATTACACGGAAGGCGCTGAGCTCATTGATTCGGTGCTCGATGTTGTTAGGAAAGAGGCTGAGAATTGTGATTGCTTGCAAGGTAAGAATGTGTAGTTTTTATTTATTTATCTAATTTTCTTTCATCATCACAAAATAAAATTGGTATGATTTGATTGTGTTCTTATTATTAATAATTTCTACACATTGTATTATACATCCCAATGGACATCAGATTGTCGATATGCCATCTATAATGTGTAAATATCATTATTGTCAGTACATTTTCAATAATATTAACTACACGTATATTCAATCATGCATATAGAATTTGTGTTGTATAACCTAAATAATATTTAGGGTTGGGGATGAATTCCAGGGTCGTATTCCATGTGACACGTCTTGGGTTCGATTCTTGACGCTTGTGAATCATACGACGAATGCCAAGAAGAGGCTGAAATGCCTTTGTGAGGCTTTCTGACCTTCAAAAGAGTGGACTGCTATGACGAAACTACCAATTGGTTCTCTTTTTATAAATAAAAAATAGTAATTGATATCACAACAAAAAATTTGTAATATTTTACATTACACAAACATCTCATTTTGCAGGGCTAGATTTAAAAATTTTGGCCACACATAACATGTACAAATTCAAAGACAATCTTTTTCATAAATCATAGATATACTATCAGAGATTGGACAAAATTTTCAGATGCTACAACTTCATGTCATTAATATTTTAGACCTTAATTTGATTCAGGATTTCAAGTATGTCACTCACTTGGAGGCGGAACCGGTTCTGGAATGGGAACTCTCCTCATTTCAAAGGTAAGAGAAGAATTTCCGGACCGGATGATGCTCACCTTCTCTGTCTTTCCATCTCCGAAGGTTTCAGACACCGTCGTGGAGCCTTACAATGCCACACTTTCCGTTCACCAACTGGTTGAGAATGGAGATGAATGTATGGTCCTCGACAACGAAGCCCTCTACGATATATGCTTCAGGACTCTTAAGCTCACCACCCCAAGCTGTGAGTTGAATCCACATTTTGAAACTCCAATATGCAAATCATCCTTAATTCTAAAGTGTAAAATGTTGATTGACTTTATCTTGATAAATATTATGGCATCACACAAAATATTTACTTTTGTGTTTTCCAGTTGGGGATTTGAATCATCTGATTTCGGGAACTATGAGCGGAGTTACTTGTTGTTTACGCTTCCCTGGACAATTGAACTCGGATCTGCGAAAGCTAGCCGTGAATTTAATCCCATTCCCTCGACTACACTTCTTCATGGTGGGATTTGCACCTCTGACATCTCGAGGTTCGCAGCAGTACTGCGCATTATCCGTCCCCGAACTGACACAACAAATGTGGGATGCAAAGAATATGATGTGCGCAGCTGATCCGCGCCATGGACGTTACCTCACAGCATCAGCGATGTTTCGAGGCAAAATGAGCACGAAAGAAGTTGACGAACAGATGATGAATGTGCAGAACAAGAACTCCTCCTACTTCGTTGAGTGGATTCCAAACAATGTCAAGTCCAGCGTTTGTGACATTCCACCGCAAGGTCTTATAATGTCTTCGACATTTATTGGAAATTCGACTTCTATACAAGAGATGTTTCGTAGAGTGAGCGAGCAGTTCACGGCAATGTTTAGGAGGAAGGCCTTTTTGCACTGGTATACCGGAGAGGGAATGGATGAGATGGAGTTTACGGAAGCGGAGAGTAACATGAACGATCTTGTTGCGGAATACCAACAGTACCAAGATGCCACGGTTGACGAAGATGGCGATTACGCCGAAGAGGAAGAAGGGATGGGAGGTGGGGAAGAACTCTGAAGGTGTTTGATTTGACGAGTTTGCTGTTTCGTGTGATGCAAGCAATAATTAAGGTGTTCATTTTTGCAAACTATTATCTACGAGTACTGCGATATTGTGTTTGTATGGGAATTTAGTAAATTCAGTTTTCCTTCATAAGTGAAGCCCTTGCTTGTAATAAGCTATTTGCTTCTAGGATAAAATTACACATATGCATCACCTTGAATATTTATATCATGCAGATATGTATTACTTGGTATAAAACTGAGCGCAGTGGTGTTTTAGGATTTATATAGCCGACTTCATTTGGTGGGATAAAACTTTGTTGTTGTTGTTTGTAGATGTGTATATGATTACATGCACCAAGCATTCTTTTTTGAGCCATCTTTTCGAGACTTCTTACGACATTGAGAAAAGAAATATTACTAACCAGAAGTAAATTGTATTCTCTAGCCTGATTCTTAGTATGTAATTTTGCTATTTCATGGAAAAATGAATTCGAACTCAAATACAAAAAGGCATACATACTGATGTAGCCGACCGACCTTATGTTTTCCCTTTTGAAATGAATTATTGCAAAGCAAAAATAATAATTTGGTTTCACAAACATGAAGACTTAATATGGACCACCGTCCACCACAAGTCAAAATCCCATGTACCACACGTTTGGAAATTTCCTCATTGGTAGAAATATCGTTCTTTGAAAAGTCACTTAAATTATAAATTCTCTGAAAACTTAATTTCAAGCTACTTAAATTATAAATTCTCTGAAAACTTAATTTCAAGCTACAAAACAGTTGAAAAAAACTGAATACTTGAATTCTTTTAAGCCAGAAAAAAGGAGAGAGAAAAATAGAAAGAGAGTGAGGGATTGGGTTTTAGTTGAGTACTCATACATGGCATGCCAATCATCAACAATATGGGGAACAAAAACTGAATCTGCTTCCAAAATTTCAAGCTGCTTTAACAACAGCTCCTCCGTGCTCCTCTTCTCCTCCGCCATTCGCAACAAAAGCCGCCGTTTCCTCACTTGTTCATTAGACCCCATCTCCACTTCATCAACAACATCTTCTTCTTCAGCCTCACATAAAGCTACTTGCAAGAACATAACAAACAGAAAGTCTCTTGAAGTACAAAGAACCAAGGATGGGGCTTCCTCGGTTTTGCATGGCGATGAGCGTAGACAATCCGATAAGAAGATTAAGAAGAGCAAGAAGGATGAAACTAAGAATGGCGAGATTATGGGATCGAAATCTGGATCAAGAAAGCGGCCATCGTCGTGGAAGAAGGTTTTCTTTTCATCCAAGAAGTTTAGGAGTATTATGCTGCTCAATTTCATCACAATTGTATATGGTATGTCTTTTTTCCCTTAAGCAATTTGCCTTGCCTTACTACAAGACATGGAAAGCAACTTTACCTACTAATTTGTTAGCCAATCCGAGACTAAAAACCTAAATTTCAAGCTCCAAATGATGATTCTACACCATAAAACAATTGACGATGAATAAATTTGATCGAAATTGAAAAAATAAGTAGAAGTGTGATTTTCTCAAAGCGTTGGATCTTTAAAAAAAGAAAGAAATGAAGTCCTGCGCAGAGAAAGACTGATTATTTGTCACATTTGGTTTGTTTCTGAAGTCACAAATTTCTAAGATGTGTGCTGATTCAAACTGCAGCAAGTGACATTCCAGTTATTAAAGAAGTTGAAGCTTTCATGGATCCAGCAGCCTTCTCAGCAGTACGATTTGTCATGTCCGCCATCCCATTTCTTCCATTTGTGTTTCGATCGCGAGGTGATGTCCAGACTCGCAATTCAGGCATGGAGTTGGGGTTCTGGATCAGCCTAGGATACCTTCTTGAGGCACTTGGTTTACTTACATCTGATGCTGGTCGTGCATCATTTATTTCTCTGTTCACAGTAGGTTAAAAATTTTCATGAACTTTCTATTAGCTACGGTTTTTCTGTCATTAATACCATTGTACCTCGGCAAAAGCCACAAATAGTATCTGTCTTTGGGAGCATCGGTACGTTTTTGTAAAATCCTGCTATGTCGAACAGGTTATCACGGTACCTTTGCTTGATGGCATGCTTGGAGCAACCATACCTACTCGTACCTGGTTCGGAGTCCTCATGTCTGCTCTCGGGATTGCTATGCTCGAATGCAGCGGATCACCTCCGAATGTAAGCGTGACACGGTTAAGTTCTTGATGCTTTAGTGTTCGTAATGTTGTAGAAAAGCGCTGTGATGGTGTAACACATTATTCACAGTTCCTACTTGCCTTTTCTCAGGTTGGAGATCTTTTGAACTTCTTGAGTGCAATATTTTTCGGAATTCACATGCTTCGAACTGAACATATTTCTAGAAGCACAAAGAAAGAAAACTTCTTAGCAATTCTTGGATTTGAGGTTTGTGTTGTTGCTATGTTATCAACAATTTGGGTTTTCATCGGAGGGTGGTTTGATGGTACCAACTATTCCAACCAATCCCCATGGACATGGACAGAGCTATGGGACTGGCTTGTTGTATTTCCATGGATACCAGCAATTTATACTGGTGCATTTTCAACCGGATTATGCTTATGGATTGAGGTAGGGTTCCTTGGGTCACACTCTACTCGTTCCACAAACTGAATTTAAGCACTTAATTAGGAAGCTGTGGTGTCCTTTCTTGTATCACCAATTGCTCAATACTTTCTAGGGGTTGTTTTACAATAGTTCCTTATAAAAATATTGTTCATCACCGCAGATTGCAGCGATGTCTGATGTTTCAGCAACAGAAACAGCCATAATTTACGGGATGGAACCACTCTGGGGTGCTGGTTTTGCTTGGTTTCTGCTTGGTGAAAGATGGGGCATGCTTGGATGGTTAGGCGCTGCTCTTGTTCTTGGTAAGTACTTTCTTCGTCGTGCTGTTGTGATTTGTTACGTTTATACACCTTATACTTCTTATCCACTTGATCAAAACAAACAGGGAGCACGATAGACCTACGGAATTGATTCAGCTTCATGTTATTTCAGGTGGAAGCTTACTGGTGCAGATTTTCGGGTCCTCATCCCCCAAAGAATTTACGGTGGCTAAGGATGGTAATGAGAAAGGTGATCTTGATCTCCAACGAGTTCCAGTCGAGCATAAATTACAAAACGGACTCTCTACTTCACCGGTTGTCGTCAGATCTGAAAAGAATGTCACAGATTTCTTCAAGTGATCTCCTTCTTTCTCCGTATGTATATACGTACAAGTTTGAAAGTAGCGAACAGAAACTTATCAATGATTCTTATTATAACAACTGAAGAAATACAAACTCCAATTCCATTACATAGCGAAAACATCACGCCACGCTTTTATTATATTGAAATACATACTAAATCACGAGCAATGTTCATCCAAAATACGTCACACCAACGACAACAGAAAATACTAATGTTCATCCAAAATACATAGTCTAATAAAACTCTGGATATGAAGAGATTATTAGAAGGATCAATTCTTCTTGGCAATGAACAGGCCCCACTTCTGCTCGCCGGAATCAACCCTGATCAGCTTTGCCTTCCATCCACCAACGATGTCATCATAATCCTCCTGTTTATTTTGTCAATAAAAAAGAATCAGAAGAATGAATGGATACAGTGTTCAATATATCAACGAGAAAAACATAGATACGAGGAAGAAACGCACTTGAGAAAAGTCCTGGACGAATGAATCCTTATCCTTCTCAACGGAAGCCAGTTCCCGCTCCAAAACAGCTTTGAACTGATCAGTACGATCCTCAGCAATGACCTCATCAAAGCCAGCATCCTTGAGCATCTGAGATCGGTATGAATATACAGGTATAATTTTATGTCAAGGAAATACGAATAAATGATTTTGAAAGACGAGCTTGTAAAAGCAATCAGATGTAAAATTGCAAGCATACCTGACCATAAGCTTTTACATCATGGAGATCATATCCTCTTTGCTTAATATAGTCAGCAAAGTTTTCTGATGGAGTTCCAGCACACCTACAGTAATCACTGATGAGAACTTTGCCGCCTGGCTTCAACCACTTGTAGAAGGATCGGAACAATGCAGGCTTGTCCTGTAAATAAAAGTTTCGCGAAACATGACAAATTAGTATAAAGTTGCTGAAAGAGTATGATTCCCATAGAGAAATGACGAGGGGCGCACTTACTTGAATGTGTAAAATGGTGTCGCGACTGTATATCACATCAAAGGTATTGTCAGGATAAGTCTTTTTTGTGCAATCAGCAACTTCAAACTCGACAGCGCATTTGAGTCCAATAGCTTGTTCGAGAGCAAAGGAAATCATATTCACGGAGAGGTCAATTCCAATAACCTCAACATCAAAGTTTGAGGCCATATAAAAGTCACCTCCCCCGATGCCACAGCCTACATCGAGAACTTTCTGGCCAGGCTTCAGATCCAACTTTGCCACAAATTCTTTAGTAGTTTCTGCTCAAAAGAGAAGGGTTCACTCACATCAGACATGTTAGGACAATCAATCAGAGAACAGAAGATAAATAAGCAGCCAACAACAGTTAATACCGATCCCTCCTGTGCTCACGAAACCTCGCCCAAACACACGCTCATATCGTAGTATGCCAGTATTTTTATACTGAACATTATCTAAGAACTGCTGGAACCCTCTATCATTTTCTGAAGGGACTTTCTGCCATAACCAGCAGATCTGTAGTAACCAATAATGTTGTAAGTCAGCTAGTTGAACAATAAGAAAGGAAAACTACTGAATAAACTTCTACTAGTTTTATACCTGATTTTGATTCCTTTTGTTCCGAACATAAGCTCCAATACATTTGCAACTAACAAGAGAGAGTTCAAAGAAATTCCCGGAATCATCACGCATGTGGCAGTCTTTGAAAACCTGCAGTACAATGTAAATGTCTGCTGAATTATTCACACAAGCACAAAAATGGAAGAACTATATACTTTCTATACAATGACATTGGTCATGGGAAACTTCAGTCAAGCGAAACCACTGGCAAGTATTTATATTCTATTTTTTTCAAACTTTAACTCCTACATCGTAACAGTTTTCAGGTTCTAATTAGAATGCAGGCATGCGACTCCAAACAAGTAAACCTCTGTCAACCATTGATTTCTATCACAATTTACTTTATTGAAAAAAGCCAGAATTAGAACATTCCTCTTAATGCGCATGCAAATATATTATTGCACAAATTGATTAATTTCGAGAAACTACAATGAACTGAGACTAATGGCAATCTCTTCATGATTTAGTGAACCAAATGGAGCACCTTCATGGAACATCTTAAACAAAGTAGTTAAGAAGGCAAACCTTGGTATAAAATCTTGGCTCCCTGTAATGGGTTGGGTTGGATTTTCGTTTGGAGTCTCCAGATTGGTGGAAACAAGATTCTCTGAAAAAGATATGTCCACCGACCTTCAACCATCCCATCATCCTTTCCACCAAA